CGGCCGCTTGTAACCTACCATGTTTTTATTTATTTGATTGATGTATCTAAAAATGTATTGACACCTCAGTTACATGTTTAAAAACAACTGTCCCTGGCTATGGTATGATGGTAAAGAATGAACATGATAAAGTGCTTCAGAGCGATGTGTTTGTTTGATATAAAGGAAGTCTTTGTGCTCAGTTTCTTCAACTGCTTTGGGTCGCATCAATCAAACAGATTATATGATACAGAGGCTATGACATAGCAGGCCTATATTAAATATAGATAAAAACACACATCACACAAGATAGATACATCTCTGACTTGTGTTGTTGGCTGAGCATATTATTTAACTGGTGTGTCAGCATGAGGACATTTCTACTTATTGAAATGTATACAGAAGATAATGTTCCACTAAAATACAAAAAATACAATAACAATGTCAGATGTTGGGAATACTCTGCTTTAAGACAAAATGCATTAGTGGTCAAAGTCAGTATGCCGTCATATTTATTCCTCAATTGCAATATTAAACAACACACCAATGGCCAATTAAGATGATACACTTTGTATCGGAAAAAACATCACAGGAATATCTGAACAAAGAAAATACAGGCCTGAAGCTGACACTTTTTTATCTCAATCATCAGCATGTAAATCTAAAATGTGTCTAGGTGTTCTACATATAAAAGTGTGCAGGACAAATGCAAGCTTGGGGATGTAAACATACCATTGCAGTGTTTCCCCTAGGTTTACTGCCTTGGCTGTAGGGTGCTGCTCTGATATGAAAGCAATCGAGTTATGATCATATTGAGCTATTGGTGTGAGTCTAACATTAAACAAGCAGTCTGCTTGTCATACATTGATTCCTGACGATACATTTTAAGAGGCAATTTGTTGAGTCACTGCCGCTAGATGCCGGTAGCATCAAGCTAGCAAATCCTGCATTAGCCTCACATCAACAGGTGTAGTAGACAGAACATCAAATTATCCTGAGCTAATTTACTGAATAAACCAACTCACATCTCCTGTCTTTTTTTTCACCTAAATCATTAGACGATTCTTCTGCTGGCGTTTCATTGTTGTTTTCTGTCAAATTAAATACTGTAGTTCAAAACCGCGGTACCTGCTCACCATCTGTGAGCTATTTTTAGAATGCGCACGCTACATTCGTTGTCGCGTTCGCATGCGTCCACCTGGGCAGGCTGTGTCCTTCTCCCGTGACGATAACGGCTTGAGGTTAAAAAATAATAATAAGCGAATTTGAAACACAAACGTACGGAAGAGGATTAGGGCCATATACATTTTTTTTTGTGAGGATTTGAAAAAAATGTTTTTTTTTTGTTCTGACTTTTTTCTCAGAATTCTGACTTTAATCTCAGAATTCTGATTTTGTCAGAGATTAAAGTCAGAATTCTCAGAAAAAAGTCAGAATTCTGAGATTAAAGTCAGAATTCTGAGTACAAACGGGCAGACTGCAGAGCTCGGGGCAATAATGCAGATTTGTTTGACTTTTTTACACTTTGTTGTTCTCCTCCTTTCCTCCGCTCTTGTCTCTGATTGTGAGTGTGTGCATTCGTGTGTGTGTGTGGGGGGGGGGAGAATGTGAAACATGCACATACATTGGATAAATAACATAGGCGTTTAGTTTATTTAATAAAAGAGCACATGTTCAATGTGAAAAGTGACCGTAGATAGATTACTTCAGTTGCAATTTGGTGCTAGGCCTATATATATATATATATATATATATTAGGGCTGTCAAGTTAACGCGTTAATAACGCAAAAAAAAATTAACCCCACTAATTATTTTAACGCGATAAACGCATGTGTATTTTTTTTCCTCGGCCGCCCCGTAGTTTCAGAGCGCATCGAGTTTAAAATACCATCTACAAGCTGATGCTGACAGCCCCGCTCCTGCCGCCCGCTTGTGGCAGACCACACTTCCACGCTCACCGGCAGGCACCGACTGGCTGTTGGGAGGACCGGGAGGGTGTGTGTATGTGTGGCCCGAGCGAGCGAGAGAGAGACCTTACGTGCATTGTTGTTGTTAGCATCTGGTGCTAGCTAGCTAGCTGCGCTAACGGATATGGAGCTGTTTAAATGAAAACAGAGGAGCGACATTTCGCCACAACTGCGCCGAGCACTTGACTTTATGCAGGAAGCCAGACAGTGGGACATTGTACGAAAAGTCAGCACACTCAGCACGGATAGTGCGCAACATGATTGCAGCGTCCAGGCAGCTCCCGTTCGAGCATATGCCTTGAGTTGCACATAGCTCCAACGATCCATCACACACAGTCACACACACACACACACACACCATTTGTATTGTATTATTGTATGAGAGAGGTTCCAGGTTGAATTGAGGCGAATATTTGTAATGTTCAGAGGTTGTTGTGTTTAATATTCATGAGAATATTTGTCATTGTTCAAATGATAATAAACATTAGCATAAAGCATATTTGTCTACTCATGTTGATAAGAGTATTAAAAACTTGAAAAATATTCCTCTAAGGTACATTTAGAACAGATCAAAAATGTGCGATTAATTTGCGATTAACTATGGACAATCATGCGATTAATCGCGATTAAATATTTGAATCGACTGACAGCCCTAATATATATATATATATATATGTATATATATATTTTTATAAATAAAAAACACCTTGAATTTCAGGCTCCGTTGGCAGGGCGCAGCGCCCCGCCAAGACAATGGTAGGGGAAACACTGCATTAATACTAACCAAACAATTACCCCCTTATGTACAATTACACCTCACAGTGACACCAACTATACCTGAAATACATTACAGTACAGCGAGAGGTAAGATGCTCCCTCTACTACCAGTGACAAGCATTGTGCACCCACAGCAAATTTGAAATCTAAAATTCAACACCCATGTAGTTAATTTTAACACTATGAATGAGTTTATATTGAAACCACCAGCAAAGTGTTAAATTAACACTTTCCAAAGTGTTGACAATATAACACTATCATAGTGTTAATATACCAACACTAAGAGTGTAAGATGTGAACACCAACACCGATAACAACACTAACAGTGTTGGCTGCATCTTCAATTTAACACTGTTCTGGTGTAGAGTAACACTACAGTAGTGATACATCTTCTCCCATTTAACACCTTTAAGAGTTAAACATGTACACTAATAGTGTTGCAATTGTACACTGTCCCGGTGTAGAGTAACACTACAGTAGTGATAATTTATCCCATCTAACACCTTTAAGAGTTAGAAATGTACACTGAGCTAGTGTTGAATGCACATTATACTGGTGTTGCATTTTGCATTAGCCTCAACCCTCTGGGAGTTTAAAATGAACACTAATCTATTGTATTGTATTATGATGTACAACAAACTGGTGTTAAAAGTTACAATGACCAATAAATCGTTCCAGATATCAGCATATGACAAGTGCTTTATTTGAATGGTGGCATGTCTCTTAAGACTGACAAATCCTCCCAATATTCAATTCAACCAACATTCAATATTGTTCAACAGCAAAAATGTATATAAATAACCCTCTGTGGCAGTTGAGGTCCAAAAAGGTTGTAACCACACACACTCACACCCAGTGTTTCAGTACAAAAAAAAAATCTGTTATAGACAGTTGTTTGCAGAAATGTGTACATGCTTTTGAGTGCTGGATCATAGCTAGTCCCTAAGACAAAGTGAAGCTTAAAAAGTTCATCAATTGCTGCTAAGGAAGTGGTAGCCTCACAAGGGATGAGCTTCTTGTCGATCAGAATGAAGAAGTTGCCGATGGCCTTCTTGCTGGTCCCTGAAGCAAGAAGATATGGCTGGCTTGTGTCGATATGGCTCTGAAGGTGCTCGTCCAGACTCCTACAGGACTGAAGGACAAGGCAAGCAACATTTTCATTTTACATGGCTAACTATGCACATGTATGTGTAATATGTGAGTGTGTTTTTAGGAATAGTTTATATTTGCACTAGCCTAGTCCTACTTTATCATAGTGACAGCTCTCTGTAGTAGTTCTGGTGGCTAGATCTAACATTCTTAAACCTGCCACATACCTTGTGAAATACGACCAGATGGTCAATGGCCTGAGTATGATCTTCTGGGTTTTCTTCCTTCCCGCAGGCTGGGGTGACAGGAGGTGCAGAAGGAGGAGGATGGATGCCATATCACTGTCCCACTGTGTAAGAAAAGAGAACAATGATAAAAAAAAATACCCATCTGTATAATGTCCAACAGTTCATAGTGCATGTACAAGCAAAATACAAGACATGAAGTCTCACAACACAATAAAGTATGGAAAAAGTGAAGTGGCCTGAATACTTTCCAAACCCACTGTACCCTGGCATTCTCCAACTGTGTGGTCATACACTCCCTCCAGCCTCACATAGACAATTTACAATAGGCAATATGACATGATATGACAATGCAGTTCCTAAAACCATACCTGGTGATTCCAGTGATGGTTCATCAGCCCTTTGGTTCTTGGCAGACAATAACAAGTGCTTCAGCAAGGGTGTGGAAGTCAGCATTTCTGCCTGTTGGATGACCTTTGCTTTGAAGGAGGTTGGCCACTTTTCCAGTAGTTTGGATGGAGTTTCTGACGACTGAAGTCTTGGAGAATCTAAAACTACGGTGGCCGGCAGGTGCAAACGCGGAACAACGGCCAAAAACAAATACATTAGCAGGAAACAGCTGCAAATCCTGAAATGAAAAACAAACAAATCCAACCAAAAAACGCTGCATTTCCAGAAATGATGCAAACTAAATACAACACACAAACCCCGAAAACAAACGCAACAAAATGCTGACGCTGCAAATACCAAAACGACATGCAAAGTCCAAAGCACATACAAATCCCAAAACACATACAAAAAAAAAAAAAATTCCGGAAGTGTTCCAGGCCTCTAGGGGGCGCGCTACGTGGAACAGATTGATGTCTGACCAGACATAGAGGGAACGAACAAGAGTGCTGCAAATTGAAGCCGGAGGAAACGAAGTTGATCGAAGTGGAAAAAGACGATATATAAAAAGGTAAGTTTTGTTTTGATACAAAGAGCGTCATATTTACCCAGCTAGCGTTAGCTTGTTTGGTGAAAGAGCTTGCAAGTCAAGAGACAGCACTGTCTGTGCACCTAAATGTAACTCTTGACATCATATAGATATATTATAGGTGCAGAGAGGAGTTGGTTTATTGTGCTTCAATGTAAATCCTAATGTGAGAGTTAAAGGACGGTCAACAATATAATGTACCTTGGTCAGTTTGGATTTATCGTGGCATTTATTCTTAATTAAAGTGAATTTATTTGTATTTCAGTCAGTCATTTGTGTGTTGTATGCAGGTGTGGGACATTCCAAATGTTCCAAAAGTGAGCATTCCACGAATGGACAACAGTTTGCAGGGTAAAATAAAACATTGTCAACATATTATTTTGTGCCACAAGAAGCAGAATGTTTTAACAGTACAGTAGTTTGAATATATTTGTTGTTAACCTTTATCAGACCTCTCAGGCACCCACAACCAGCGTCTGATCGCGTAAGACTAATTACAAATGTAATTATACCATGTAGGTTTTAATTTGTGAACATGAAATCAATAAATACCTTTGTGTGCACTTATTTCCTGGGTAAAAATAGGATGGAGCACCAACCCCATTCCAGGAAGAGGTCCAGTCTGCCCCGGGTCAGAACCACTTCTATAGGTAAACGAGGTTGACAGTTGCATCGTGACACAGTTGTTTGCTGTGTATCTTTATTTTACATTTGTTTGTTTGTATAGCCTCCAATCACAGTGGGTAACATTGCCAGGAAGCAGAACAATTATACTTTTATACATTTCCAAATGACACCCACAACATCTGACATCTTAGTGAAGACAATACAAAAAACACCCACAAATATTTTTCAAAGATCAGATATTTTTTGTTGCATCCATTTCAAATGTTTACAAGGATTGTGCAGGAGTATGACAAAAGTGCTGTTGTCAGTTTAGAACCCAATGTATTGAAAAAACAGGAAGAGGATCGACATCCTTTTGTAAATATGACTGTCATGCATATATTAGGTATTTGAAAGTAATTATTCAACTGTCTTCTCACTGCAGCAACTACACAACTGTGTATGCACTTATCATTATTGATAGCCAGTCTGAGCCAGAAGACACAATGGAGCAAAGGTATTAATTGTTACTATTACCACTTAATTTTTCTATTCTATTCTGTAAATCTTATTACTAGCTTCATCATTTAATATTACAATACATCACTTTGTCTTTCCCAGCACAGAATACCTGACTGCGGCACACATTGTTGCAGAACTCTCTGCAAAAATAACAAATACATCTTGCAGCAGGTTCAATATTAATAGAGCCAGTGTGTGCGATGGAGCAATCCGCGGCTTCAAAGGTGCCTCATTCGATCCCTCTCATGAGATGTCAGTTAAGTTCACTGATGATGAGGGACACACTGAGGATGGAGGGGACAATGGTGGTCCCAAGCGTGAGTTCCTGACCCTCCTTATGGAATGCCTGAGAATGAAGAAAACATCACGTCAGCAACTTTGTGCCCCATGGCGGTGTGACTTTCCCAGCCGCTCACGGTCTCAAAATCTGATTCTAAATATATAATGTTCTCTATAAAGATATAACTAATACACAATTATGAATGTATAATATAAGCTGTTTTGTGTATTTAATCATGCATTGGTCTACAATTTAATGATGGCTTCTACATATTTCACATAAACAGACAATGAAAAAATGTGTCCTTCATGCTGATAACTAGTGTATGCATCTGCCAATTCGTATTCTAAACAGAGTAGTGTGTTGAATCCTTATTTCTTGCATTTGAAACAGATACAATAAAAAAAGTGAACTTACTGTTGTGTTCAACTTCTGCCAAAAACTGTACATGTTTGCCACAGGAGCCACAGAACACTTGAACTGTCCCCAGATGCTGGCCACAGAAAGGACAAAACATGGCGGCCTGAAAAGACATACATTGATGTAGTAAATCCATTTAATCAAGTTAATCAAAAACACATAGTCTAAATAGTGGTTAGCTAAATAAATAGAAAGATACATCATGTTTACCGTTGAATCTGTGTTCTCTCTCTCCTTGAATGTCTCTATATTTGTTCTTGAGCATGTCTAATGCACACTACTCTCCTGTCATTACTTTGTCCCTCTTCACATGTTGTCACATCTCTCTCAATTCAATAGCTTTATTAGCATGACCATAGTTACAGGTAATTGCTAAAGCTCTGTATAGTTGCAACATCTATACACAAATATATACATATAAACAAACTGCTAAGAATTCAAATGTCCTTTTCCCGCGGTACTCACTATGGCCCGTGTTATTTGCCTGCACTTGATTTGTCATCTCTTTTAAAAATTTTCTTCCCTCACTTTATCTTCTCTTCACGTGAAGCTCTCCTCTCCTCAGCTGGTGTAGTAGTTAGGCACGCTAACGCTAGCTATATAAATATGACGCTCTATGTATTAAAACAAAACGTACCTTCTTATATCTTTCTCCACTTAAATGAAGTTTCTTTACTCTCGATTTCCATCACTCTTGTTCGTTCTCTCTATGTCTGGTCAGACATCAATCTGTTCCACGTAGCGCGCCCCCTAGAGGCCTGGAGCACTTCCAGAATGTTTTTTTTGTATGTGTTTTGGGATTTGTACGTGCTTTGGACTTTCCATATCATTTTGGTATTTGCAGCGTTTTTTTGTTGCGTTTGTTTTCGGGGTTTGTGTGTTGTATTTAGTTTGCAACATTTCTGTAAATGCAGCGTTTTTCTGTTGTATTTGTTTTCAGGGTTTGTTTGTTTTTCATTTCATTATTTGCAGGTGTTTCCTGCTTATGTATGCGTTTTGGGCCGTTGTTCCGCGTTTGCACCTGCCGGCCACCGTATAAAACACATACACGACGGGTGACCCGCAAAAAAGGTGATTCGCGGGTGGTATTTTTTCAAACGCTTTTTTCCGGGTTCGGTTCTGGGTAAAACAAAGATGATGCGGGTCGGGTCGCGGGTATTGCATAATAAATATATTAAAATAATAATAATTTAGTTTAATGTTTAAAATCCTCAGACCTCTCCCCCGCGGGACTGCGCATAATCATAACCTCTGCAGCGCATCAATCTGCTGCTGTGCGCGCCACATTCAAAATGGCTGAGGTGAAGCTCTCTAGCGGAGAATACAGCATTTTCAATAACACTTCCTCAAGAGCGAAATCCAACGTCTGGGAGGCTTTTGGTTCCTAGATGGAGAAAATAACCAACATCCCTCGCTTTTTGAGACAAATATGCAACTGCGTGTGTTAATTGCACGTTTTCACTGCTCATATATATATATGCGGGTTCGGGTCGGGTTGCGGATCTTGTGCCGACGGATCGGGTCGGGTTGCGGAACTAATTGGCAATATGTGCGGGTAGCGGGGCGGGTTCGGTATTGCACGTCGCGGGGGCGGGTCTTGAAAATCAGACCCGTGCAGGACTCTGATGCCAATTTCACAGGTGTAGATCATCACCATTTAACTAAAGGTTGCTTAAAACGTCTATCAAAATAGATTTACTAATAAACAATTAAACTACCCTATGCCCTGGCAGGCAACACTGTCACCCGAAAGCGGTCAAGCCTCCTTCCCTCACATGTCGATGCGTTGGTGTTCCTCAACGCAAACCAAAAACCTGGAAAGGTGGACGTTATCGTGGAGGACAGCGAGTAAAGTGTTGCACACTGGATTTACGTGGCATTTCAGTAAACAGAGTTTTTTGCTGTCGATTTTGGTGAGTCCAGTAACTGTTTGTTATTTACTAAGTCCAGTTACTGTTTGTTATTTACTCAGCCATGTAACACAAATTAAAATGCAGTGTTTAATGTAACTGTATGAGTTCCAATATAAAATACAGTTGTACACCTCTCTTTGTGTGTCTTTATTATGACGTAACGACTAGTCGACTGCTATTTTGAAAAACGCGTCGACTAGTAAATATTGGTAGTTGTGAAACCCCTAATGTATACAACTACAGGAATTCTTAAATGCAGTGGCATGTTCTAGAAATCCCACAGCATTCAAGGAACCATGTAAGCCATCTAAAACAGTCTACTTTGATCATAATCAAGAATAACTCACATATCCTGTCTTCCCATGTGGATCTTTGAGCGAGGGAAACAGGGTAACAATCCCCAGTGCATACTTCTCTTTGGTCAGTCGCTGAGGGATTCTCCTGTATAGCAAAAACAGTCATTTTCAACATTTCATTCATTTAAGTCTAAGAGACTTAGTTTTAGAACATATAAACTTAATGAACTCAATTTATGTAGAAATACAATTGCACCAACTTCATCCACACTTAACCTATACATACATGACACTTTCATGCAAAGCTATAACAAACGGATGGACAGACGTCACTAAAATGTAAAACAATGGTGTACATGACATATTGAACATGCACTCACATTTTTGGCTTGTGGACCTTGCAAAGCCTCCTCCTCTTTTCTGAAGCCTTTCAGAGTGCCACTGTAGAAATCGTTTTCACTGCTGCTTTTCGAAGTGACTGAAATAGTATCTGTGCCTGAAGCGGAGGATGGCTCTGGAAAATAATGTCATCACACAAGAGATATTAAATATGAATATTGAAATTATATGGTCTTCCCTTGTCATGTCTATATGTAATCTACTGGTGAAGTGTTCTCAAAAATACAACAAACCCACTGAAAACCTCCATTACAAGTATGAGTCCCAAAGTCGTTGTCCACAAGAGCGCACTCTACTTGGGACCAATACCAGGGCTCGACATTAAGGACTGCCCGATGGCCCGGGGCCATCTAGTATTTAGCTCGGGCAATGAAGCCTCACCTGCTGGTTGCCCGATCGGGCAATGAAGCCTCACCTGCTGGTTGCCCGATCGGGCAATGAAGCCTCACCTGCTGGTTGCCCGATCGGGCAATGAAGCCTCACCTGCTGGTTGCCCGATCGGGCAATGAAGCCTCACCTGCTGGTTGCCCGATCGGGCAATGAAGCCTCACCTGCTGGTTGCCCGATCGGGCAATGAAGCCTCACCTGCTGGTTGCCCGATCGGGCAATGAAGCCTCACCTGCTGGTTGCCCGATCGGGCAATCTATTATGCCAGTATCATGCAGCTCGGGGATCCAGTAATGAGTGACCCGACAGTAAAACTAAACATATCTATAACTATTTTAGGTAGTTTGAGAGGTAATTAAAATAGCTACGTGTGATATTCTAACCTGAAGTGTGTGTTTTGTCCGCTCACCGCTGCAGGTGATTATGCAGAGCTGCGTGTCGACAGCAGCTGATCTCTCTCTCCCGTCAGATTAGACTTCACTCGCGTTTATGTCCATATCGATCAGATCCAGCTAGTTCTAGCTAATGATATGACTACCTGCTTATTAAAAGACACCTAAACAATAAGTGTCGCTATGCAACTGGGTGAGGCTACAAAGTATATCGCAGCATTATGCATTTGTTTACATGCCCACCGGAACCCCGAGGCATTACCAACAGATCAACGCACAATCAACTCATACAGGACATATCTTTCTCCACATTAAGTGTTAGACATTAGAATTGACTATTCTTGTCTGTCACATAAGTGGCGCAACTGAAGCGGTATTGCGCTAAAGGGAAATTATTTTGACCGGACATTTTGACCGAAGAGATTTAGATTTGCCGGCTGACGTCGCCATTTTGTGTGCTTCGCGGATGCGCTCGGCTCCTCTCGACTGCTGCTCGGGTCTGCTCGGTCAGCTTCCGGATGAGGAGGCATTCGTTCGACCAACTTACAGTAGATAACATTACATTTTTAACGGGGACCATAATAGTGTAAATAATGTTTGTTTTGGCAGTTATAACTGAATGTAATGTTTTCTACTTTTTTACATCTGGGAAGGCATTTGCCTTCATCAGATGGAAAGTGTCTTGACCAACAACTTAAGTATTTCTTATAGCTATGCAGGGCATGCAAGCGAGCAAACACAAACAAGAACAGACAAACCAGTGAAATTAAGAATAAACTTGAAATTGTACAATATAATATTGTGGTGGTTCATCTTATAATTCAGTCTAGAGAATGCACCAGACATCATCTAAGACCTGCAAAAATCTAAATGTTCTAGGGGGAGGCCCTCCAAACCCTTCGTGCGTCATTACGTCCGCGCACATTTTTCAGGGCAATCTCCATTGGGCTCAGGGCCATCTGTAAATTAGCTTAGACGGCCCACAGGTCCTTAATGTCATGCACTGAATACTTACACAGCAATGGTGGTTTTCAGTCTAGCAAAAGCTTAAGAACAAGGCTTTCAACCAGAACCCCAAGTAAGTACAAAATTATGTATTTTCACTAAAGTTGAGTATGCCTGTACCCATGCACGTGTCAATCACACCACACATTTGATTCTTATAAACAATACTTTACCTTTTAAGATAGTATTGTTTATAGCAATGAAATGTGTGGTGTGCTTGACACTTGCATGAGGATAATCAGCATACAATACAATTGAGAAATGTAAAATAGACCCTTTTCTCAG